CGACACACCATGAGTATGATGACAGGGTGATACTGATGTAAATAAATCTACAGCATGCAAACAGTACAAAGGTACATCAATACAATTATATAAGTGCATAATCCTTGATGATAATATCACTGGTTTGTGTATTTACTGTTCTTTTACATTGTATTCCAACTTATAAACAAGTTTACTGTGAAACAGTATGGGTTATGTGCTGTGGGATGTTCTGTATGCTGTGAATATGTGTTGCTCTGATTGGTTGATAAATAAAATGCTGATTGCCCAGTAGCCAGGCAGGAAGTATAGGCGGGGCAAGCAGACGAGGAGAATTCTGGGAAGAGGAAGGCTGAGTCAGGAGTCACCAGCTAGACACAGAGGAAGCAAGATGTGAAGGCAGAACTGAGAAAAGGTACCAAGTCACATGGCTAAACATAAATAAGAATTATGGATTAATTTAAGTGTAAGAGCTAGTCAGTAATAAGCCTGAGCTAATGGCCAAGCATTTATAAATAATATTAAGCCTCTAAGTGATTATTTTTATTTATTTATTTATTTATTTATTTATTTATTTATTTATTTATTTATTTATTTATTTATTTATTTTTTGGTTTTTCGAGACAGGGTTTCTCTGTGTAGCTTTGCGCCTTTTCCTGGAACTCACTTGGTAGCCCAGGCTGGCCTCAAACTCACAGAGATCCGCCTGGCTCTGCCTCCCGAGTGCTGGGATTAAATGCGTGCGCCACCACCGCCCAGCCGTGATTATTTTATAAGTGGCTGCAGGACCTCAGTGCCGAGCAGGACAGAAGAAAACTTCCAATTACAGTTATGTGGTATTTGGAATAAAAAAATGTCTTCCATAGGCTCATGCATTTGGTTCCCAGATGGTAGTGCTGTTTGGGGAGGTTATGGAACCTTCATGAAGTGGAGCCTTGCTGAAGAAAGTGGGAACACTTTTAAGCCTGGTCCCACATTCTCTTATCTCTACTTCCTGTGTGAGAATGAAAATAGGACCCACCAGCTTCCAGCTGCCACTGCCACCTAGCTTTGTCTGTTGCCATGATTTTCCTGTCATAGACTCTGTCCCTCTGGAACTGCAAGCTAAAATAAACTCTCTCTTCCTGAAGTTGCTTTTGGTCATGGTTGTCTTAGTTAGGGTTTCTACTGCTGTGAAGAGACACCACGACCACGACAACTCTTATAAAGAAAAGCATCTAATTGAGGTGGTGGCTTACAGTTTCAGAGGTTCAGTCCATTATCATGGTGGGACATTGGCAGCATGCAGGCAGATGTGCTAGAGAAGGAGCTGAGAGTTCTACATCTTGCAGGCAACAGGAAGTGAACTTTGTGTCACACTGAGCAAAGCTTGAGCAAAAGAGACCTCAAAGCCCGCCCCCACAGTGACACACTTCCTCCAACAAGGTCACACCTCCTAATAGTGCCCCTCCCTTTGGGGGCCATTTGCTTTCAAACCACCACAATGCTGTTTATCGCAACGATAGAAATGTAACCAATTCAGGTTTTAGCAATAGAAGCAGCATACATCTTGAGTTTACTGTCTCTCCTCCTCTGGCTAGGCAGGAAGTGTAGGCGGGACAAGGAGGAGAATAAAGCTGGGAAGTGGAAGGCTGAGTCAGAGAGACACTGCCAGCCGCCATGATGACAAACAGCACATGAAGATGCTGGTAAGCCACGAGCCATGTGGCAAGGTATAGATTTATAGAAATGGATTAATTTAAGCTGTAAGAACAGTTAGCAAGAAGCCTGCCATGGCCATACAGTTTGTAACCAATATAAGTCTCTGTGTTTACTTGGTTGGGTCTGATGGCTGTGGGGCTGGCAGGTGAGAGAGATTTGTCCTGACTGTGGGCCAGGCAGGAAAACTCTAGCTACAGGCATCTTCCTTCTCCACCACGGAAAAGCAATACACCCATGTCATAACAAGGTCTGAAGAAGGCACATTCCACACAATGCGATGAAAGCCCAGGCATCACACTTTACCAGATTTCTTGGTTGCATCAAGATGCCCTGTGGATGGATTGTGTCCCGTTCATTAAGTGATTCGTATGTAGCAATAGACAGATACATGAATAATGTTGTAGTGCTGGGGATGGATTCAAGGTCTGCCCCAAGCATTGTACTCCTGAGCCCCTCACCCCCCTACCCAAGGACACATGAATTTTTGTTGTTGCTATTGTTTAGACACAAGGTTTCATATAGCCCATACTGGCCTTCAATTTGATATAAATCCTTCGGCCTCCACATCCCAGATACTGAGATTACAGGAGTATTCTACCTCACATACACTGAGTTATTTATTTGCTATGTATAATAAACAATCAGGTACTAAAAAGGGAATTTCTGTCAGACATCTTGGCACTCACCTACTATAATCCTACATGGTGGATGAGGGGCAGGGTGGCAAGGTGGATATAAAGGGCAGGAAGATCATAAATCATTTGTTTATTCATTTGTTTGAGACAAAGTCTTACTATGTAGCCCAGGCTGGCCTGGAACCCACCATGTTGACCAATCAGAGATCTGCGTGCCTCTATCTTCAGAGTTCCGGGACTAGAAACGTGTAATACCACATAGGCCAGATCATAAATTTGAGGGCAGCTTGGATTGCATACTGAGACTGTCTCACATTCAACAAAGTGGTTTGCTACAAAGACAACCCAGTATCATTTTTTGATTTAAACTTGGGCCAAAAATAAAGATTGAATGCTGTACTTTACCTTGACTGCGCAAGCCCAACCTATGATCATGGTCACTTAGCAAATAGGAATCAGTTGAGGCTAACATCCTGTGGTTTAGAAGCTAACTTCTCCATAAATACAAAACCTTTCCTACATGAGTTTAAATACCTACTCAGAATGAAGGATCATAAATAGCTTCTTTTAAATGCTTCTTTTTCCATTTGAAAAAGATTGTAACCCTGTCTTTCTTTGTGCTTTTTATTTTTAAAGAAGTATTTTTTTTTTAATTTTATGTGTGGGAATGCTTAGCCTGCATGTTTGTATGCATGTACCACATGTGTGCAGTGCCCACAGAAGCCAAGAAGAAGGCTTCTCATCTCTTGAACTAGAGTTACGGATGGTTATGAGTTGTCATGTGGGTGCTGGGAACAGAACTTGCGTTCTCTGCAAGGGCAGCAAGTGCTCTTAACTACTGAGCCATCTCTCCAGCCCGTGTTCCTGAATTTTAAAGGAATGGTCTCTATATGAATGAACCATATATCATGTTGCTCAAGACACTCTTTTTTTTTTTTAATTTATATGCATTGGTGTTTGACCTGCATGTCTTTGTGAGGGTGTTAGATCCTCTGGTACTAGAGTCACAGCTTGGAATTTTTTTTTAATTATTTATTTTTATTTTATGTGCACTGATGTCTGCATGAGGGTATCAGATCTTGGAGTTACACGCAATTGTGAGCTGCCATGTGGGTCCTGGGAATTGAACCTGGTCCTGTGGAAGAACAGCCAATGCTCTTAACCGCTGAGCCATCTCTCCAGCCCTCAAGATACTCTTAAGGCAGCTCTTATTTATTTTTTCCTGAGACAGAGCTTTGCCATGTACCTCCAGCTGGCTTAGAACTTGCGGTACAGCTGAGGGTGGCCTCAAACTTGCAGCAGTCTCCCCACCTCAGCCTCCTGAGTTTGGGATTACAAGCGTGCACTGCAAGTTTTAGCCTCCTTTCTGTTGCTGTGGTAAAATACCCAACCAAAGCAAGTCTAAGGGAGAAGAGGTTTATTCTTCTGACGCAGTCTAACACCGAGGGGAAGTCAAGGTGAAAGGACCCAGAGGCAGTCAATCACAGCCACAGTCAAGAGCAGAAAGAATAAATGCACCCCTGCTCAGATCCATCTCTACCTACCCAGGACCCAAACCTAGGGAATGATGCCGCCCTCAGTGGGCGGGTCTTCCTACCTCTATCAAGCAATCAAGTAAACCCCCCACAGACACACCCACAGGCCTAGACTTAACCTCAGTGAGACTCTCTTCCCCCTAGGTTGTGCCAAGTTAACAAAATTAACCATCACAAAGCTCAGCCTGTGTTCAATTCACAACACCTACATGGCAGCTCACAACCGGCTATAATTCTAGTTCCAGTGGATCTGACCTTCCTCTGGCCGCTGCCAACATCACACACACACACACTATACAGACATACATGCAGGCAAAACACCCATATACATAAAATAAAAATTTTAAATACATATGGAAAGCAAGACACCCAATGTCCTACTCACTCAGCTCTCAGGGAGTAAACCAAAGACACCTCAGCCAAGCAACTGTTCCTGTGGCACACATTCAAGACATTGCTATTCCAGCCAATGCTCTGGTGTGAGTTTAAAATGGTCCTGGCTGAGCGCTTCCCGTTTTGAAGCCATCCTCCCTTTCAAGTCCATATCCCATATTAGTTACTTTCCTTGTCCCTATAACAAAATATCCAACAGACACCTTAAGGAGCAAATATTACTTTGCGTGCACAGTTTCAGAGGGTTCAGTCTGTTCAGATGGGGATGGTGTAGCCGAGAAAGCAGTCCACATCACTGCGGGCCAGAGGCAGAGAAGGAATGCTCACCCTTGGCCTCCTCTTCTCCTTTATTCTTTACCTCAAGTAGTCAATAGTACAGCCTCTATTACTTTCAGAAGGCTGTAAGATCTAATATTAAGGGTCCTGTGTGCTCAGTCCATATGTAACATAGAGGAAGGACTCACAACTTACTCTGGTTAGTCCCCCCCCCCCCCCAACTTATCATTCTAGAAAATTGTGCCAAAAAGTGGGGTCCCTCCTCTGAAGACCAGTTTGTATTGACCAAACGCAGGTAACTGGACTCCAAATTTTACACTAGTAGCCACTCCACTCTCCAGTGTTTGTAGCCCCAATTTTCTTAATCTCCACAGCATTTTACAAGTATAAGCCTCTTTCAAACTCTTTTTTAGGAGGAAATAACGTTCATAAATTTGTAAATCAGTTTTGCCCTAGTCCTTCTGTAGGACTTTGTTTCTTTTTAAATATGGAATGCTTCATGAATTTGCTTGTCAGCCTTGCACAGGGCCAGGCTAATCTCTCTGTATTGTTCTAATTTTAGAACATGTGCTATCAAAGAGAGCACTCTAGGGTTTTTTTTTTCTTATTCTTTTTATGGCACCCAACAAATTCATTCCTTAAATGTATCTGCTTTTATCTGTATTTTTATGGGAGAATTTTTTTTTTTTTTGACAGGGTCTCACTGTGTAGCTCTGGCTGTCTTAGAACTCACTATGTAGATCAGGCTGGCCTCCAATTCATACAGATCTGCCTGCCTGCCACCATGCTTGGCTCAGAACAAATTTTTTTTTATGTTGCTATTACTTTAAGTTATAATACACATCCATCTGCCATATTCTGCAGTGTGGGGGGCATGTTTTAAGATAGGATCTCTGTGAGTTCAAGGCCAGCCCAGTCTACAGAGTGAGTTCCAGGACAGGTTCCAAAGCTACACAGAGAAACCCTGTCTCGAAAAACCAAAAAAAAAAAAAAAAAAAAAAAAAAAAAATCTCACTCTGTAGACCAAGCTGGCCCTGAATACACAGCAATTCTCCCTCAAGTTCCCAAGTGATGGAATTAGAGGCATGTGCCACCATATCTGGCTTTGTCATTGTCATACCTCCCTCCCCCACCCCCTCACCCCCTCACACACACACACACACACACACACACACACACACACACACACACCCGCCACCCCACTCCCGAGATAGGGTTTCTCTGTGTAGTTTTGGAGCCTGTCCTGGATCTCACTTGGTAGTCCAGGCTGGCCTCGAACTCGCAGAGATCCGCCTGGCTCTGCCTCCTGAGTGCTGGGATTAAAGGCTTGCACCACAGCCGCCCCACCTGCCATTGTCATCTTGATGGCCATAGGATAAGATAATGTGGTCTAAGGGTATACATTTGATGGCTCTCTCATTTAATAATTATGTCCACAGCTGAAGTACCCTAAAGACAGAGAAAAAGAACCAAGTGCTCCAAAGAACAACTTAAAGGGAAGAGACTGAGTGAGAACTGGAGCTCCAGTTTTTGTTGTGTGTAGCCCTGGCTGTCCTGGAACTCACTAGATAGCCCAGGCTGGCCTCTCTCACACAGAGATCTGCTTGCCTCTGCCTCCTAAGTGCTGGGATTAAAGGTGTGAGTCAGCAGCATTTTTTGAGAGGCCGCTGAGGTTTTTGGGAGTGAGTACCTGGCACAGTGAACAGAGTTCTCATCTGCCATGCCAGTCAGTTCTCAGGGTTTCAAATGACAGAAGAGCAGTGTTAACACAGCTCTCCAATCCACCACTGCGAACTGAGCTCAAGGTTATCCTCCTCATCCAGCTATTAACCAACCTAGCTAGCCATGTGGACATCTGCATCTCAAATGCTTGAAACATTAATTATTCCTGTTGTTGGGTATGTCAGCACACATCTATAATCCTATCACTTGGAAGGCTGAGGCAGGAGCATTGTTGTGAGTTTGAAGCCAGCCTGGTGTGCATATCAAGTTTCAGGCCAGGCGGCACCACCACACAGGGAGACCTAGTCCTTTTTTCTTTTCTAATTACATAAGTAAATAAGTCCTTTCTCCTCCACTTAAAGATTTTTCAAGGACCTGAATATTGCTGTACCGTATCTATGTTAGTATCAACCCCCAACATTAAGAAATTTGTGCATAGTACCGCAGATAAGTAGTAATTTATTATCTTAGTCTGTTGATTTGCATATGTATGCATATGCATGTTCTTTCTGCTGTGGAAAAGGGACAGACTGAAACTCAACCAGAGATGGGTTCATTTCAAGCAAATGCATAGTCAGTTCGCTCGGGCTCTTTTTCAGTGGCAGCCACCACCACTGCTTCCCATGACTTGATATGGAAGATTGGATTTCTGTTCTTGCTCTGTTTGGAGTCTATTTTTAACTCGGCCAACTGACTTAGTAGGGGAGCCATGTGAGAGCTACTATTTTTAAGTAAATAATAATTGTCCCTGAAACCCACTAACAGAAAAGCATTGTCCTTCCCTCCAATAAATAAATAAGTAAATAAATAAAAAATAATGTAAGCCTGTATTTAAGACCTCCTCCCTTCTTCAATAAATGGCATTTGGCATTAAAAAAATTAAAATTAAAATTAAAATTAAAAAATAAAAATAAAAAATAAAAAAAAGGAAAAGCATTGTCCCACCCTACTGTACATGTTGCAGGGTGTAAACTACTTGTTTGTTTGTTTGTTTGTTTGTTTGCTTGTTTTTGAGACAGGGACTCTTGTATCCCCAGCTGTCCTTGAACTTGCTATCTAGCTAAAGATATGCTTGAACTTCTGATCCTCACATCTCCATTTCCCCCTCCCCAAGCCAGGAATTTGCTACCACACCCTGTTTTGTAAGCTAATGGTTATAAAAAATAAGTACTAGGCAAGCAAGGTGGCTCCCGCCTTTAACCCCAGCAGTTAGGAGACAGAGGAAAGTGGGACTCCATGAGTTCTGGGCAAGCCTGAGTTTCAGGCCAGATAGGACTACACATGAGACCATCTCAAAAATAAAAAAAGAACACTTACCGAACCCCCACTGTATGCCTGGACTGTGTACTTGCATACATTTTCTCCGTTAATCTTCACAAATGAGTCTGTGTTGGCATAGACTTCTTGCCTTATACACACATTCAAACCCTGCAAAAGAAAAAAAAATTACAACACAGTGGGCATGAGTTCAAATCCTATCCTTGCCGCTTGCTGTCTAGATGAACTCGGGCAACCCACCTGAGCCCTTTGAGTCTCAGTCAGCTCTTTCAGCTGTTCAATGAGGGCGCTACTTCCTTGCGGGTTGTGATGTTCACTGGGTTCCGAATAAGTCAAGCACTTTCACACAGAGTCTGGTGCGAGCAGCCACACAGAGCAAGCAGTTACTGTGCGAGACGACTCAGGAGGCAAAAGCATTTGCAGCCAAGCCTGATGACCTGAGTTCAGTCCCAGTCCCGGCAACCCACGAGGAATGGAAAGAAGTGACCTCTGAAAGCTGTACTCTGACCTCCAAATATGTGCCAAATAGACAAACAAACAAACAAATGTATGTTTTGGTTCAGTTTTTGAGACAAAACCTTACTATGTATCCTCTATCTGACCTAGAACTTACTATGTAGACCAGGCTGGCCTCAGACTCACAGAAATCCACCAGTCTCAGTCTCCTAATTACCGGAACTAAAGGTGTGTTCCACTAAGCCTTACCCATGTATTTTGTTTTTTAACTTTCTGGTGGATTAGCTCTACTGTGCTGCCCAGGTGAGGAGCAGGGCCCAATTTAGGTATTTTGGAGATAAGTTCATTCTAAGTATCCCACCACACCCAGCAAATATAATTTTTTAAAAAGTAATTTTGGGGGCTGGCAAGATGGTTCAGTGGTAAAGAGCACTTACTGGATTCAGTTCCCAGCACCCACTTGGTGGCTAACGACTGCCTATAACTCCAGTTCCAGAGGATCTGACACCCTCTTCTGGCCTCTGTGGGGGCTAACAGGGTGTGGTGGCACATACCTTTAATCCCAGGCTTCAGAAGCAGTAGCAGGCAGATCTCTGGTTTGAGGCCATCCTGGTCTGCAGACAAAGTGCCAGACCAGCCAGAATTGAGACCTTGTCTCAAAATTAAAGAAAAAAAGAAAGAAAGAAAGAAGGAAGGAAGGAAGGAAGGAAGGAAGGAAGGAAGGAAGGAAGGAAGGAAGGAAGGAAGGAAGGAAAGAGAAAGAAAGAAAGAAAGAAAGAAAGAAAGAAAGAAAGAAAGAAAGAAAGAAAGAAAGAAAGAAAGAGAGAAAGAGAGAAAGGAAGGAAGAAAATATTATGTCTTTTTTTTTTTACCATCCTGGAAAAAATTTCAAAGACTTTGAGAGACAAATGCTAGAAAAAGGCTCACTTTGTAGCTCCTTGAACTCCAACCTGGGTAATTTCAGTTTGAGTGGCAGGAGGTTGCTCCAATAACCCAGTGTGGCATTTGAACAATTGTCAGGTCTTCTAGTGGGTCCATTTGCTCCAGAGGGCCCTCCGACAGCTGCCAGAGTGTCATGAGTGAACGCTGGTAGTCATTTCACAGAACAGGTGTAGCTTCTCCTGCTGGCCTGGACACAGCTTATGAAGCAGCAACCCAGAGCTGACCTCTGAGGAAATCTCTCCTGGCTCCATTCGTCTGTGTCCGGTTAACCCAAGAGGGATTACATCCAGCCTACTACATTCTCTGAGAGACTAGTTGGCTGCTTTCTGCATCTAGAGCCCAGAGCTCTGCTGGGCAGCCTGGAGCTTTACCTGGTGACTCCCAAGTTTACCCCTCAATACCCACAGAGGAAACAGATTCAGTCCACCTTTCTTGTACTCAATCAGCACCTTACATGTAACCTTCTTAACTATTTGCTATTGGACAGCCATTTTAGATATTGGTAGGGTTTCTTCCTTCAAGGCAGAAGTTAAGAAATTTTGACTGCTTAGGCTTGTAGGTGGAGTTTTTCTGTCCCACCAGTCAGGTCTGTCCTGCCAGCCAGCTCCCAAATAACCACACTGAGACTTATTATTAATTATAAATGCTCAGCCAATAGCTTAGGCTTGTTACTAAGTAGCGCTTACATACATATTTCTTTCCTTTGTTTTGTTCCCTTTATTGTTTGTTTTTTTGTTTTGTTTTGTTTTGTTTTTCAAGGCGGTTTCTCTGTGTGACAGCCCTGGCTGACCTGGAACTTACTCTATAGACCAGGCTGAACTCACAGAGATCCACTTGTCTCTGCCTCCCAAGTACTGACTATTGGCCAGTCAGCCTTTTATTAAATCAATTAGAAGGTACACTGGCAAAGACACATCTTCACAGTGTACAAAAAGATTATTCTATAACATAGGCTGGTGAGGAAGGAGGCAAAGAGTCTTACATATACTGAGAACTACTTTATGTTAGAAACTTCACAAGGGAGAGACTGCATTGCCCCAGGTAGACTGGGGAGAATTTTCTTCCCCTCCCACTGGGGTTGTTTCCCAGAAAACATGGTTTGCAGTCTAAAATCTAATCAAATTCCAGGCATGACCGTGCGTGCCTACAACCCCAGAACTAGGGTGAAGAGTCAGGTGGATCCTGGGA